AATTTAATAGTGATTTTGAGTTCATTTACAACCAAACGTCCACGCCTTTATACAACTCCCAGTATGTGTCAGTTTCACCTGCTGTTTCTGCCATGTTTCCTAGCTCTCAGTCCGAGGCAGCACATCAGTGAGTCACTCGCTGGAGCCTGATAGACTTGACTGAGAGCTCTGAGACATGATGGAGGGTCCTTTTTTAATGTAATTTTAATAAAATTTAATTAACTTTACTATTTTTGTTCACTCCCACAGCAGCAGTAAAGAGTAAATGGTCACAGACAGTCGTTGGTGAAGAAAATGGAGCATTTATAGGAAAATCTTTCTCTCAGGAGTTTGTTCAGGCCAGAGTGGAAGTGGAATGTGTGAGATTTCAAGTCAGAAATGCCGAAAGAAACACAGACAGACTGACTGGGACATTTATGAACCTTTTCCATAGAAATAATACGATGGCACTATCAATTAGACATTCAAAATATTGTTAGTAATTATAATAGATCAAGCAAAGAAATGTCAGAAAATCCCCAATTGTCTCTCAACTTTCTTCCTTACTGATACTGTGTGACATCTGTCTGATTTCCCACAGCTTGGCTGACAATGAGCAGTGAAAATAAGAGAGGAAACAGCACCTCGGAGAGCAGCACTTCATCTACAAAGACCATATTCCTCAGCAATGGCTGCTAAAACTCTGATAGTATTGCTGTTGAGTGTGTGTGGTGCTCGGGCAGACACCACAGAGAGACGTAAGCTCTGCACTCGAGAGCATCTAAAGCATCACCTGGTGATGGAACAGAAGGAGGAGGTGTCCTAGTCATCTGTAGTGACTGTCTGGAGAAAGAAAACGAAACACTGAATTCAGCCACCAAGATGGGGATGGAATAAAGAGCAGCACAGTTAATGTCTACCTAGAGACGGGCTGAAATGCTGAGATAGGATATGACCATATTTGGAGTGTCACTTTTAGCTGTGTCACCAGGTGCATCAGTAATTAACTGTGATATTAAATGTGCAACAAATTTTAGCAAGCAATAATGGGATTAAACAAAAAGCATACGTAGCAGAAATCTGAAGAGCCAGCTGCTTTGTGTCTGAATACAAGCAAACACTGAAGGAGAAACACAACTTTAGGCCATAAAAAAATTACCCCAGTACATTTCATACTAGTCATTAATAGGGATTAATATTGAAATCAGATATGGAAACAAACACCATTTAACAGGCTCTAGACAGCCTACTACATAAATTTGGTCATTTTCTCTGAGACACACTCACTTTAGGACTGGTGGCCATTACAGGAAGTTTTTTTCCTTAAACTTAAATATTTGTTCTTTTAGTGGCTGATTGACCA